TTCAATCCAGCGAAAAGTGCGATTGTGACCTTCTCAAAGTGCGGTATAGGCACAGAGAAACGTCTACAGGTCCAAGGTCGAGATATACAAGAGACACGCAATACAAATACCTGGGAATTACTGTATCAGATTCTGGCCACTACCTAGATGCCCAGGAGGACATCTGGGCAGAGAAATCTCAGAAAGTCCTGAACCAATTGCGAGCGAGAGCACTATGGGGATTCAACAGGTTCGAAATCTCCAAGACCCTATGGAAGGCGGTAGCCGTACCAGCGCTCACCTACGCTAACGCGGTAACAGTAATGACACGGACTCTGGAGAACAAAATATCAACAGCACAGAACGAGGCGGGAAGGTACGCTCTTGGGGTCCCCGGCAGTAAAGCGGCAACGGAATTCGTCACAGGAGAACTGGGCTGGTCATCTTTCAGGGCGCGAGAAGCCCAAAGTAAGTTGCGATATTTTAACAGAGTGAAATCCATGCACGACCACAGATGGCCGAAGGCCATAGTGAATATGATGGATCAGTGCGGAGTTAGGACAAAGGCATATCGGAGACTGCAGGAGCTGGAGCGTGAATTCAAATGTGACGACCTCACGTTAACTTTCACGCAAGGAGGAAAACCGCTCCACGGAATTCTCGACAGAGCGATTAAAGGAAGAATTAGCGAGGTTGAAACAAGCAAGTGGAAAGACTCGATGAGACTGAAAACTAGCCTGACCCGATACAGGACAAATGCGCCGGAACGAGGGGTAGCTAAGTGCCAGTGCTCCTGCCAGTGCTGGTTCTTGAAGACGAACTTCTCGGGCATCTCATGATACCGGAGTAATCGAGAGTCTGTGAGGTCGTCTGGAAAACTTCCGTTTTCCTCTTGCAGTTCTCGGCAGCGACGATTCCTGTCGAAAACCGCTGTAAGCGTTGAGAGTCGATCTCTAGCTGAAGTCAGAGAAGCTTCTTCATCTCCGGACTGGAAACGAACGCTTTCGAAATCTGGCAAATTAACTTGTAATCTCGTGACAGCATCGCTTCGATCGTTCAATGAAAAACCGAAGATCCGATGAGCTGCCTCCGGTGCACATACGTAGCGCGTGTCCCAATATGAGTTGATTTCATCGTGATCGACCATCTCTGTCGGTGAAGACTGTCGCATAAGGCGCAGAGTTCGACGTTTATGTGGGCGTTGAAGAGTCGCGTCAGATATGGATAGTATGGCACCACAGATCGATTGTCGAGTTGAGTGCCTCGGCACATGACAGAACGACCGTCTTGTCGACGGCGATATTCCGGGTATCCTCCAGCTGAGAGGGAGGTTTCTTCTCGGAAGGCTTTAGGAAAGCGTTTCGAACATTGTCCATTGATCATGCGCGGCGCGTTGGGATTTTGTTTTCCACATGGCCTATGGATCATGCATGTGAAAACTATCTTGTGCAGCGTTGGATTTTCGGCAGGATCGGGCAATTCGGCAGAGATCAAAGCGTCGACTTCATTTGGGGTCCTCAATTTTGAATCAGCTTTGAGCGTGAGGAGCATATGCATGTGAGGTAGCCCTCGTTTTTGGAATTCAAGCTCGTAGATGTAGGCGGCCACTTCCCCGAGGACTTGAGTCCTGACAACTTCGTCACAGAACGCTCTGATTTTGAGTTGGAAAACTCGAGCAACCAAATCGGGTCGATCGGATGCGTTCTGGCCATGAGCTAGATTTGTCGCTATCTCGGGCCATGCCGGGTTGCACGTGAATGTGAGGAACAAATCTGGCTTGCCGTATTTCGAAACAATACTCATGGCGTCCTGATCTCGGGCCGCCAGTGAATGTCGCCGCGAGGATTATTCTACGCCCAGGTGGCCCGCTGTGATCTGAGTCGCTTAACATATAATCCTGGAGTCCTCGAACAGTATCGAGCCGTAGTTCTCGCTGATTCTGACGGATATAAGTCAAGCGGTTCATTTCTATCTTCAGCCAACTGTCGACCAAGAATTGCTGCAAAAGCTTTCCCGCATGGTGCAAGGGATTGAATAGAGCAGCGGTTCCCAACCTGGGAGCCGTGGCTCCTAGAGGAGCCGCGGGACTTCACTGGGGGAGCCGCGGACGAATTTCTGGTGTAGGTCCGGGCCGTCAGGGTTTGTCAATTCCAAGGGAAGGTTCCGAAACGGATCGACTTCATCTGCCACGGTTGTGTTCCCGCCATTCGGTTCAAACCTATTCCGCCCAACTCTATCGAAGCGAATAAAATGAAATTGTCTTCTCAGTGAGTATCTCGCTCTGATTTCTCATACTCGGAAGAGTCCGCTGCATCCGCCTCAGTTGCCGGAATTGAGCTGCGAATGGTCCTTTTAGGGGAAAAAGAAGGGAGAGTAGGTAGGAGCCGCGGGAGCCGCGTGGGCACTGGGTATCCTGGGAGTCGCGTGGGCACTGGGTATCCTGGGAGCCGCGTGGGCACTGGGTATCCTGGGAGCCGTGTGGGAATTCTGGGTTCGCTAGGGAGCCGCGGAGCCAAAAAGGTTGGGAACCGCTGGAATAGAGGATCGCGAGCGAACAGCAGATAAGAATAATATTCTTTCTGAGTCACCCTTGTCCGCTTTGATGAAGTCGGATCTCGCCGTTCAATTTGAGGATGCCACCCTTCAACGCCGGTGGGGAAAAGTAGTGGATACGAAAGCGGATCGCATAGCTTGTCTAAGTAGTTGATGAATTTGAGATCACCGCTTATCTCGTGTACAACCAAGAGCCTTTCTCCCGGAATATTTATTACATTTATACCATACTAGCGGAACCCGTCGCCGCTTCGCGGCGGTTGTTTTTGAGCTCTGCGGGGCGAACCGCCTTTCCAGTCATGACCGTGGTTTCACTCAATGTTAGATATGTAGGGATTGAGATTAATGCGTCGATGATTTCAATGGGCTTGCCATTGTGAAAAGAACGCTCGTCATCATTCCTTAATATCCGAGTTATATCAGGAGTTTATTAGTTTATCGTTTATTTTATCAGGAGTTCTTCGTATTCTTCTCCGGCACCTTTTTCTTTCCACCACTGGAGAAGCTTGCGGGAATCCTTATCGGTAGGTCGGGTCTCGAAGCTCGAATTGCTCGTCGACGTAAGCACTCATTTGCCACCATATTCTCGTAGGAGAACGTTGCGGATGCAAACAACTTTTCCTTCCGCGTTCTTCAACCTATCCGTATGTTCAGACCAGAGTCCCAACGATATGATTCTCTTTGTGTCGTGAACCAAACGAATGTTTTTCGTCACGCGCGTCACTCCATCTTTGCAAGTGAATTTTCGGGGTTCTCCTACTTCATATACAATTCCAGTGACGTCTACGGCTCTGTTCATGGGCGCGTGTACCATCTCCAGAATGGTCATAAAGTTCGTTTCATTCTTTGGGAGAGCCTCCCCGTTGATGGGGATCACATCACTTATCTGAAACGGGGGTGTCATGTTTCTGTCTATAATCGGCGGAAAGGGAGTCTTATACTATTATTATCCATGCACGATTATTGGGTCATTCGGATTACCCATGTCAGCTGTAGCTCGCATGGATGGTCGGTGATTTTGTATTTCGGATTACTCGGTCGGGTTTTGAAGCCCATGATTTGGTAGCAGCTTCCAACCTCAAGCCGATCGAAGTACTCATCGCACAGCGGCTCTGCAACGATCACACTGATTTCTGCTGAAGGTGACAACAGCAGAGGGTCCGCCTTACTGGCACTTAGTCGAGCAAGGATGCTGAGGACGAGGAACAACAGATCTTACTCCGAGCCGGGACTACTGGAATCCACATGTGTCAGATGTGGAATGGTACCGGAAACCACAGGCCACGTCATCTGCGAATGCAACGAAGCATTCTTCGAGGAAGAGGAAATACTGAAACGACTGGGACTTGACAGAGATCCCTCCTCGAGGATGATACGCTACACCAAGAGACTCCTACAGCAGTGGGAGGAAGAAACTAACAATATCCGCTGAGACTACTCGCCACTGAAGTGAAAGTGTCATTTAAAGAAACTTAAATGAGGATAAATAAATACCAATTCCAATACCAATTAAAGGGCTCGGATACGACCCGTAAAGGAAAAAAAAGGTTAGGTTAGGTCGATCTCGCCCAGTCGGGCCGCTATTTCGAAAGGCGACGGTATATGGAGCCCGCGGAATTCAATCTCTCTTCTACGCGGAAGGTCCTCGTCGGGGTCAACGTGGGAAATAGCCGCAGCCACTGTCCTCTCACCAAGGCAAGCGAAATATTCATTGATCTCATCTACATCGAGTCCCACCGCGCCTGGCAGCAGTCCCACGGACCTCGATTTTCCCCTGAAGAAAGAATTTATGATTCTCCACGAGGTGGCAGGGCATCCCGTAGCCTCCCTGAACCTTGCTCTGTAGAAACTGTTCTTGGCCCTTTTGATCAGTCTCTTCAGGATCGCATTGTACGACTCGTAAACAATTTTCGCCTCAAGAGTGGCCCGGGCCTGTACGTGAATCCGGGCCTCAAGCTCTTCCGAGCAGTCTGGATAGCGAAACATCGTTGTCGCACGCTGTCGGCACAACACAAGACGAATTCGGGGGGAACCCATCCTCAATTCTGAAAGAACAACGATTCGCGATAAGCTACAGAAAAAAAACGGAACAATAGCAAGGGAACAGGGACTAAAAGTTCAAGAAGGTCAGATTTCATCTTGTTGCACCATCGGGGGAGACATATGATTACTTCCCATATCCGACGACATCGAGTCAATCTTGCCCCGAGTGAAGTTTAACGACAGAATCCAGGTGATTATACGAACCTCCCCAAGCTTCGGATATGACCACGGATGAAGGAAATGACGACGGAAGACTTCAAGTGACTTGCCCGGAACAGAGTGAGTATGCCTGAGTTAAGCACCCGATCCCTACACGGCCTTCCCGATGTGATCCCGATTCGGAATCTTCAGAGACCTCTACCCTTCATTCAGAGAGTTCCGGGCGCTCCGAAACCTGTGAGATGTCGCGCTCGCTGACCGACGAAATGGCGCAAACTGGGGATGCGAGTCCACGGTGTGGCCGACATGGAGATCTCAAAGCATCCCGCGAGTCGATGGGACCAGATCGAGGAGAAGCAGACCAAGCAGTAGCGGCGGTCGATACAAGGTTGATCGAGACTTCAAGTGACAATATATATTCGAATTTCAAATCCAGTCGACATCGTAGCGTCGGGCCAAGCGCTGAAAGCCAGCAAGTTGAGAAACTCGAGCCGCGGGACCCGGCTGCGTTGGAATCCGATCTTCGCAAGCTTCACAAAAAACTTCGGAAGTACGAGCAGCAATGGATGGCTAAAGACGCGGAAGTCAAGGAAAAAGAACTCGCCCTCGAGGAGTTACACCTGAAACTCCAGCGGACCGTCGAAGATTCGAAAGCCGAGCTCGAGAATCGCGACCGTTACCTGAATAGGTACTAGCGCGGGCATCGAAGCTCTCGATTCCCGCTTGATTCTCGGCGGCCAGGGCACTCGAAATTTGTGACACCTCGAATCTGATCGATACCTGAAGTTCCTGTCTGAAAAGGTTTCTCGTTCGTAGTTTACAGGAAATCGTCGAGGCCCAGGCGGAAAAGATCCGCGAGGCGGAGGCGCAGCGAGGGAAGCTCGAATTCGAAGCCAGAGACCTCAGGCTCGAGTTGGAAGATATAACCGAAGAACTTCAGCGGAAGATTTCCAAGATGGAAGATCAGCTCCTGCAATCGGAAGAGGCTCTCTTGAAGAGTTCTGCAGAACAGAAAGATGCGGTGATTGCTGATCTCAGGAAGCAGCTCGCAGACAAGACCAATGATTACAATCGCATGCAACAGGAGTTGAAAACCTTGGACACTTTCGCGGTAATGAGGCAGCGTCTGGATTCATTGCTCGGTGAAGTGACCTCGTGTCATCGACAGATGGATACACTCACCCAAGGCATCGTTGATAGGGACCAGGAGATCAAAGAGAAGAATCAGATCCTTCGGAAACTGACTAAGGAAATCAACGATACAACAGCAACCAACGCGGAACTGCAGCGAAAGCTCGACCACAAAGTACACGAGCACCAGGCGCTCCGCGAGAATTTCCGACGCACCGAAGAGAAACTTTGCGGTATCGCAAACCAAGTGCTCACCGGTGAGGCGATTCTCGGTCACATCGTGGACAAGGTCATGCCGAATTCGAAGACCCAACTCGGAACGGATTCTTGGGAATCTCTTCCCGACGAGATTCTCCAGGCGGTAGATAATCTGGTCGACGCTGCGTCCAGGACCGACTCGCTGGAGCGAGAGCTGAACGGGCTACGCCGCCTGCTCGAGAAACTCTCGCCGGAAAGCGAAGCCTCCGAAATCATGAGCGAAAACACCGAGTCTCTGGAGATTTCTGAAGTGGCACGAGGAGCGTCTCGGGGTCACCCGGACAAAACTCGAGCGGACATGGCTCGAACCCTGGAAACGTTGAGAATCGTCGAGTCAGAGAAGCTCTTGTTGCAACGGGAGTCGCAAGAGATTCTGGCGGGTCACCTCACGGAGATATCGAGCTTGCGGAAGTCGCTAGCTGAGTGCGAGGCCGCTCTCTCGGCCTGCAGAGAAGAGAATGAGAAGCTGAAAGCCCTCGTCGATCGTGACCTCGTTCCACCGACCGGGACAGCCGAGACTCCAAATCAAGTTGAGGAATTACTGTCGAAATTAGAGAATCTCGAGAAAGAGAAAGCGCTTCTCCGAACGGACTTGGCCGATGTGCAGAAGCAACTCGAACAGGCGAGAGTCGAGATTCAAAATAAGACCTCCGAAATAGAAGGGATGACCAGAACTTCGTCGAGGCGGCAGAACGACCTGACTCTGTTCGAAGAGAAGCTTCAAGAGCTCAGAGCCAGATTTGAATCGAAGCTCCACGCCTTGAGCGACGAGTTGACGAATTCTGATATGGAGAAGAAGTCGCTCGCGGCGAAAGTTTCCACGCTGGAGAAACAGATCGAAGATAGCGAGGCCACCTTGATCATGTTTCGGAATGCCGTCGATCGCCTGGAGAAAGAACTCGCTCTGAAGTCCGGGGAACTGGAGGGATTGATGAAAAGACTCGAGGTTTCAAACTATAGAAAAACTGGCATATCAGCTCAGCTCAGAACATTTTTCCGAAAAATACGTCCGACAAAATGAACCGAATAAAGGGAACGATACTAACGATGCTCGACTATCGATCACATATCGGAAGCGCGAGCTATCGTGTTCTGAGGCCTATAGTTCTAGCGAACCCGGCTACTCCTCGGGATTATGGAACTCCTTCGGAGTCGAGGACCCCTCAAACTCCCCGATTGGTTGGGCTTCAGGGCTCCGGTGTCGGGGTGCTCCACGCAGTACAGAGACCCGCCGTAGCACGACTCCTGGATGACGCGGGGATTCGGTTGGGAACAGCTCTTGAGAGAAGGAGTGCCGGGCCTCGGTGTCTTCCGTCGAAGCCAGCTCGGTGAAAAAATCGATGGCCGAAATATGCTCCATCTCTGTTCGATTTTCTGCCGCCCGCTCATATCGGGTCCTAGATGGATCACTCGTCGTCATCGGAAGACCTCTTTCACCAAGGCCGCTGCGCCTGGTCTCCGAGTCAATGCCCGAGCATCGCGCGAACTCTCGGTCTCAAGAAAAGGCTGAGAGAATTCAGACCCTCATCCTCGGTCAGTCGACTGACTGAGACTTCGACATCTTGACAGAAGCGGGTCATTCCGGCCTCAGTTTCTTACCTTTGCGGAGACAATGTTTGGCCCCGACCTGAATTTCGCCGCTACGTCTTGCACACGCGGTGTCTCCCGGAGGTACGCCCGAGTACATCGGTCGCTCTCCTTCCGGATAAACGTGGTCGGTTCAAAACGACGGTTGCACACATATAGGATACTCTGCTACAGTCTTCTTCGTTTTTCGGGACATAGAAGTTAAGCGTCGATGGTCGCATGTATGGAACATGGAATATCTTGTCGACTCGAGTGGAAGAAAAACCTCAGTGGCGAAGAGCGAACACATGAACGAGAGAACTTATCCCCCAAAGAGCGTGGGAATGATCAAAATCTGCCGTGGTCCGTCGGGCCGAAGGCGAATCGCTGCTCAAGTCACGCTTAGAACGTTCGAGTTCTCAGGTGAGCCTTGAGGTTGCACCGAACTCCGTCGGAATCGGATCGGAAGGAGAACAGACCCCCTCAAGGGCGGCTAGTCAGCCTCGTGAATTTCGGAGCCTCGGCATCCGTGGCGAATTGAGCGACGAGTTGACGAATGGTGGTGCGAAGCATATGATGCTCAGAGAAGTTACGCATGAGCCGACGAGCCTGATGAGTTCCTGAAATCACCCCACAACCTTGTGAGATGCCAACACGGTAGATCAGGAGGAATCGCGCGAGAAAATCTCGCCGGCTCGTCCTTTGTTTTTGCTCCACGGGTTGGTGAAGTTCGCCTTGTCCTCCACCTTACCCTCGAGACCCCGATGGCAATAACTTCTTCTCGCTACTACCGTAATAGCGGCGGGGGGGGGGGCACCACCGTGGGCGCTATAGCTTCTTCGTAAGGACCCAACTTAAGCGTGAGAGAGCCCTGAAGAGGGAGCGACTCGGGGGGGGGGGGTCAGCCCTCACGGTGGGTGAGGCAGCACGTTCCGCGAAAACTCCGACAATTTTCGCCGGGACACCAAACTCATGTGCGGTTCAGAAATATCGTATCAAAGGAAAACACCCTGCCCGCTCCATGATCCCGTGGGACTTCCTTGAGACTGCGACCTCAAACTGTAACTGTTGTCTGCAGAAAGAGGCATCACCAGAGGCAATCTGACCTCGGGGAGGCTGCTCGTATGGCACCACATCGTCGCACTCCCACCAACAGCTCAACATGACTCCCCCAAAGGAGCGCCGGACTCCGTAGAGGTTTCCCTTAGGGACCCCTCCTCCATCTGCTCTACGTTTCTGGAGAATCGCGGAGTATCGATTCTTCATCCCCATCGACGAGGGAAATATTCTCCAGAGTTTCATGCTTCACACGAGGCTCCGAGTAGGAGAGAGGCTCCGGAACTCGACCGGATCAATCGATGCTCCGAGCGCATAGAGAGGAGTCGCTTTCCATTTCGATCCTTGATGTCCGAAAACCCGGAGATTCCCTACCTGTTTCGAATGCCTCAGAATCTGCGAAAAATACCCGCGTCAATTGAGAGAGACCCCGAAGTGATTATTGATATTATGAGAACTCTTGAGGCATTCGCCAACTAGAAGATCGAGATTTTGAGAGCCTCAACGAACGAAATTCACTCCGTCCACGGAGCGGGGAGAGACGAATTTTGAACGGTTCGTCCCATCCGTAATGCGACTTCTTTCATTGAATTAATTTCCAGACTCTAATTCATTCCACTATGGCTGCCACGCTATTCTACAGTTGTAGCTCTAGGTGTGGCCCCTGGTAGGTGGCCATGGTACCCATGACGGCCGCAGCATTGCCCCTCTGGACAACTAAGGAAAAACGCTGCAAGAGGTACTCGCTGGATCGCCTGCAACCGGTCGCCTCCTCCACCAGCTGTCCCACCGTCCTGAGTAGTGATCTCGTGGCTGGTCCCGGCCCGCCCAGGGTTTCGAAAGCCAGGGGTGCGACTAAGTAATTGACGCTCAGCTCGCTGTACTTCTGGAGCTTGAGAGCCTCCGCTCTGGCGCCTGCAGAGCCCGCCGATAGGCTCCCGGCGTCGACATATGAATTGGCTAGAGTGTTGACAACCGTTCCGTTCCATACAAGGGCCTTTCCTCTCTCGAAGGGCACGAGTGTCATGCCATCGGGTCTCTTGCCATCGTTGCGGCTCAGTCCTTGGGGTTCCCTCAGATTAGGTATCTGAGCGGTGCGAAGAGCCCGACTGAACGTCTCGTTAATTTGGGAGTGGCGAGACCACCTTCCGGCGCTCATTCTGCAGGACAGCCCGTGCGTGCCGGTCGCACGAGCAGGTGTGAGGGGTGACGATTTTAGCTCCGAGGCGGAGGCCCACGCAGATTCGCACCGTGCCGTTGGCGAGAAGGGTCCCAAGGCTCGCGGATGGCAGGCAGTGCAACCACGCGCTGGCACCGGGGCTGGATACAGCCAGGAGTCTAGCTCGGTCCCTGTTCGAAGTCATGCGGCTCCGCAGATCGGACATTCGTTCAAGGCCAAGGACCGCATCCCACTCTCTCTGCACCCGTTTCTTCTCTGGAGCTGTTCTCTCTTCTTTGGTACAGAATCGATCAACTAGGGCTGCCTGCGTCGCGGAGATGGAGGAGAAAGCTTGCTCGGATGGCAAGTCCTTGACCATATTCTCCGTAGAGTGGACCGAGGACAGTATGCACGAGGTGGCAAGGTCCAGTACGGAGCGGACGCCAACCCCCCCAATCGAATCGGCAACCTGCTGTGTTGGCATGAACTGCTGCGGTCAATGTTGAGTATCTTCTCAAGGGCAAC